AAATTCAGCAATAAACCCATTTTCTGATAAAGTAACATCATCGGATAATAATGAAACAAACACATCATCTCATTTAGTTAGTTCTAGTCGAACAATTGATCATAGTCAATCTGGTCAATTATCTAGACATCATTTTAGTGGTAGTCGTAGATCATCAATAAATCCATGTACTACTATTAATACAAAAATGAAAGTGATTAGCGGTGGTGAAGGACGTGAAGAATTTAGTAAAAAAGATTTAACAACATTGGGAATATATGATAATAATCTTTGTTGTACTATTGGTGATGATGACAGTGATAATTATGTTCTTATTTGGGATGTGAAATAACTATTCATATAATATAACATATAGAAAACAAAGAAAAACATTTTTAAAAACATAATTCCTATTCCATGACTGTATGGTAAGTTTGTTCTAGAAGCTCATATTCGAAAGATACTTCTTTCAAATGAAAACAAATCGAACTACTGTAAATTATCATCCATAGTAGACATTTATAAAACCTATTCATTGTTTTACGGAATATATATATATGTATCCAAAACTCATGTATACTAACCGAATATCCCATTTTTTTCTAATTAAAACTTTAATCGTACGTTTTTCTTCTCTTCATCTTAGTATCTGAACAATAATTGACAACATGACATCCAAACTAGTCATCGTGGTCTAGCTTCAACTTACTCATGATCTTAACCATTGAAATTACTACAATCTCCACAAAAACCCATCTGATATTAATCAACATATGCTCACTAGTGACTGGCTTCACGAGGTATATCCTGGAGTTCTAGTGAGAAGTAGTGACCAGTGGAGTTCAACCACGTCTCTTGTGAGATAGTAACTCACTGAAGACAATGGTGAATGTGTCGCTCAATTTCGTGGATTAGTTGAAGTTAGACATTAACACCGTTGGATGCCAGCTGGCTCAGTGGTCTAGTGGTTAAGTGCTCGCGCGCGAACCCAGTAGGTTCTGGGTCCGAATCTCGCAGGGGTCGAGGTCGTGGGTGCGCACTGCTGAGGAGTCCCACAATGGGACGAAATGGCCGTCCAGTGCTTCCAGGTTTTCCATGGTGGTCTAGCTTCAACTGACTCATGATCTTAACCATTAAAATAAGTAAACTGTCACGAAATATATAGTTTACTACAATAGATATCAGTAGTAAGTGAAATAAATGTTGAAGAAAGAATGGTGAGACTATAATCTATGGACGACCGTTAAGCGACACTGAAGTGACCTTGAGAGTGGATACCTACTGATTAGGATTAAATGAGGATTATAAACTAGTTGGAATTATGATTTACAGTTCATGGTTAAGGTTAAAAATTAGATTTAGAATTTTCATTACCAAATGACATCAACTATAATACCAAAATTCTATTCAGTCAAATGTATGACTGAGTTTCGTGCCAAAACTCATACTTATTTACTTACGCCTGTTACTCCTAATGGAGCATAGGCCGCCGACCAGCATTCTCCAACCCACTCTGTCCTGGGTCTTCCTTTCTAATTCCATCCAATTCTTGTTCATTTTTCTCATGTCTATCTCCATTTCTCGGCGTCATGTGTTCTTTGGTCTTCCTCTTTTCCTTTGACCTTGAGAATTCCATGTGAGGGCTTGTCATGTGACGCGCAAAACTCGTAACTCGTTGTTTTATACGTGATTTGTTCGTCCATAAATTATAGTCTCACCAACTACTTACATTCACTATGTTTATACATATGTTTCTTTATTTTCTTTCATCATTATAGTGAATGTTTATTTTTCTAATATAACATTTTCATGTATACAGTTTGATAAAATATTCATAACTCTATGACGACAATGAATCAACATGCAAACAGCTGAATTCAAACTTAGATAAAGTAAAATAGATTGGTCAGTAGATAAAAATATATTTGTAGTGTAGCGGTAAACAAATCCCCAAAATAAATAACTCTGTAAGTCTTCGAGATTGGATGCTGACCACATTAGTTCTAGTGAACTCAGCTAGCTGAAGGCGCTCGGTCATGCATACGCACCAGATCACGAGTGGGAACGCCGTGTTCAACATCCCCTGCAATCGCTGGCCAGCCTAGATCAGTTGATCCTCAATAGATTGATAACCTATCAAATTTATCCTTGAACCTCCTGGCTTCTGTCTTTTGATTTCTCTTGGTGGGTGCGATTCATATTAGGTGTTACTGGTTAAAGCGTTGTCAAACTCTGAGTATCTGTGATATCATCAGTAGCTAGTACTATGAGAAAAGGTTTTAATTTTAGTTTCTTGCTCTAAATTTAATTAAATTCATAATCTGACAGAATTAGATAATATCAGTTTAAAGATAATTAAAGTCCCTAGAAGAAAAAAGAGAACCTAGGAGGAATACAATATAATTTGAACAGAATAATTTACTTGATCATATTAAGGAATTTCAAATTAATGTACTAACTAAGAATTCTTGAAATAGTGCATTTTGAGGCAGGTGGAACTAGATGAGTATATGTGAAAGTATTATAATCGTAATTCGTAATAAGTGCTCAATCAAGTATAAAGGAATCATTAGTTCGTACAAATGACACAACCACTACATGTTAAATAAGAATCCAAATTTCTGTAATCGATTGTACTTCTCCTTAGGTTCATCATGTGTGTCTTTCTGACTGTGTATTGGATGTAAACTCTGTATGATGTAGCATGTACTCATTGGAATGGGCTCACCTGGGTTCTTACAAAGAACTCGGTTCTTGTGACTGGCTTCCATATGAACCATAGATTTATTGACCTGTTTTAGTGGGTCATGTAAAAACAGTCAGGTTAATCAGCCAATAAGTGAAAAGGTAAAAATAAGAACCAATTGGTCTGTCCAGAAGCTAGAATACTCTATGTGGGCTTGAAATAGTATCTGCCACTACAAAGCTCACCTGTAGAAAATGCGAATGATAACAAAAACTAATTACAAAATAAGTCTACGTTAACTACCTCCACAAGCTGTCACTTTAAATTTTCCCACCGTTCATATGAAATCTGATTTTTTTTTCCATATTTGTACATTGGAAACATGACTGGAAATCCATGTCCACTATTGTCATTGACAACAAATTTGAACATTCCGTTATTGTATTAAGTAAATAAGGAAACAACTATCATTGACTAAATTTTGTTTTTTTGGTCAGTTGAATGTTCGTCAACTACTCCAGGGAACATTATGTACATTTCAATATTTCAGTATTAGTGAAAGAGGCTTGAGACACTTGCAGTGCCAGTTTTACGGCTCCTGCTAAATTACCCGGCAGTCAGGTTATTGATTATAAGGCAGTTTACCGATCCTCGTTATGGTCAAGGACAACCAACGTGCACCAATCAGTTGCACTCCATCGACTGGCTCATGCTTCAGTGGTTACACTTTGTTTCTTGCGCCCATTCTTACTAATACATTTCTTTTATGACATCGTTTGTTTTGTATGGTCATCAAAGTTGCCATAGTACATAGATACGACGAAAGGGTAATCCATGTTAGGTACCAACTGTGAGGTGTGATCTAGACGTCAACTGGTTGGTCACGCCATTCCCGTCAAACCCAAGTAGGCCCCTGACCATTCGATACAGAAGTGTAACCGTGGAGAAGAAGAATCCCAACTAATGATTTTAGGTTTGATACGGTTTATTTAGCTACGGGGAGATTTTCTCGACCTCGTTATTGATTAACTGCTATAGAATTGAGTAACACTATTAATACATGTGAACTGTCATCGAAAATCCATTGAATACGTGAAAACACTGTCAGACAGGAAGCTGACGGTAGTTGGTTGAACGTGGATGCATTCACGAGGAACATGCTCTAGGCTCAATGTTCTTATGTGCTCTGAACCCCTAATTTATATTAATACATACTGGTTGATGGTGTATGCAAGGCAGTTGCAAGTATCAAGTTTGGGATAATATAGACATCGACTTCTATGAACTTATGTGATTAGAAGATGTTGAAATCAAATAAACGTATGAGTCACAAATATCGATAACATGTGTCGTACAATGCTTTCGGCTAAATAAATCTCTACAACATTGAAATGGCTATGCAATCCGCGAAAAAAATAGTTCCGTAAGTCTTTGACATTTTATACTGACCCCATTAGTTTTACTCGACACATCTAGCTGAAGGTGCTCAGTCACGCATTCGCATCAGATCACAAGTAAATTGTGATACACATCTTTTACAACGGTTAGCCAGCTTAGAACATACGCTTCTCGACATATCGATGGCCTTCCAAATGCACTTTCGAACCATTTCATTTCTGTCTTCTGATATGACTGGGTTGGCACACTTTGATTCTAAAGGTGTTACGTGTAAAAGCGTTGTCAAATTCCGGATATCTATAGTATTTTTTTACGCTTTAGCCGAATCTGGGAATGGCAACTTTTTCACGTGTTTTGGGTTTATTTCGACTTGTTAATTTATTACCTAGTAGGTATTGAAGATTCTAACTTGATGTTGGCTGACAGTTGTTTTGAGTTTCTTATTTTCGTCAACTGTAGGAATGCTGTCCCTACTTTTCCATTCCCCGCCTTTAAATCTGCGTTAGATCCTTCACGTTCATGGATGATGCTGTCCAGGTACGTGAAGCTCTCCACATCTTCCAGAGCTTCTCCATCAAGTGTGGTTGGGTTGGTGTTCGCCATGTTGTACATGAGGGTCTTTCTTTATCCTTTACGTATGTTGAGGCCCACTAATACAGAAACTCCTGCTACACTGGTTATCTTTCGAGGACTTCATAATCCAATCAACCACTAGAAGAAACAGAAAGGATGAGAGTAAGCAGCCTTGTCTGACTATGGTCCTTACTTGGGATGCGTCTTTCGGCAAAAGTATAGATATAGTGGATAATGTACAAAAAATTAAATGCACAAAAACTATAGGACTTTAATTGTCAATAAAGGGCGTGTTTGAGTTTTTGGTTTCATAATCCACAATTATAAAAAGTGACCAATAATCCCGAACACGATACAATATAACATGGAACAATCACATAACTGGAATACAAATGTAGATATCAAACATATTGAGGATCTATTTGTGCGGCAATTGACCAAGTGGGAACGAGAATCATGTGCATTTATAGACGATAACCAAGATGTAATGGGGGCAGAGGTAAAATGCGTAATGGAAGATCAGGGTGGTACAGATTTTTACAGATTTTAGAAATTTATGTAAAATTCCGAACCATGTGAACAATGACAAAATTTACTTACTAAATGGGTCTATGTTATTGTTTCCACAAGCTGCTCCCCACACACCGCTTTCTGGTGTCGTCCGTCGTAATAATTCTGCATGATGTTGATGATTTTCTCAGGTTCATCATGGTGTCGAAGAAAATTTATAAAGCGTAATCCTATCCACACTGCCCAATGCTTGTTCGTATTAAAAGAATCTGATGGATGGTGACGCGTTTTACTCAACTAATTGTTCAATAATGATTCGTGATATCGCGTTTTGGTCAGTTCATGACCGATCCTTACGGAATCCGGTCTGTTGATCTCAAAGTTAGAGGTCTATTGAACCTTTCATATTGTTCAGGGACGGTCTGATGAAAACATTTTCTGGTACCGATGGTAGTGGGATTCCTACGTACTTCGCACACTTGACCAGGTTTCCTTTCTGTGGTATTTTGATGAAGTATCCTTCTTTCAAGTCTTTCGGGATTTATTTGTTCATTTGTGAGGTGTATAATACTGGAATTATCATGCTGTCTTGCGTTTTGGGTATCTTTTTAATCCGTAAAAATAAATTTCAACGATACTTTACAGTTGATACATACTTACCACGAACCTCCCCTTCATGTTTTATGCAAGTCCCCAGTGACTGACATTTACATGTTTATATCTCTTGATCATACTAATTAATGTTCAATTGATAGTTACTGTCTCACTTAGTAACTGAACACCTTGTCTCCAAAGTATTTTTATAGCCACAGTCACGGCCAGTACTAAGCCATCTAATACTTAACAGTAACTATATACTCTATTTAACTATACGGGTTCTCTACTCATTACACTCTACGCATCTCATCCACACATATCACTATCACCGCTTGATTCTTCACATCGCAACCCCTTCATCACTTCGTGCAGTATGCCAGTGATACGACTAGTTGATATAAAAAATACAATACCTGAGTAAACTGGAAAGTCAGCTAAGTGTACGCATCAGTATGATTCGCTAAGGCCTAAATCCAAAATTAAAAAATCGGACGGTTCAATATATCTCATGCACAGCAAAATACTGATCGCCATAGTACCAACACCCGACGACTGTAAAACTCTCTTGCCGAAATTAACATTACGTTTAACCAGTTACAACAATTTGCACATATATGGGCCCTTAGGAATGGAGGAAAACATGAACCTGAAAGTATCTTGGAGTTTGCAGATAAACATATAACAGAGTGATATCTCTCTTCAAACCAGTTGCGTACAATCTCTCTGACCGCACACTTGACGTTGATTCAGACCGATTTCCAGAAACCAGCAAAGTTTTGTCGTGTTTGTTGATCATTGTAATTATGGCGCTCGTGTCACTCGGGTGTACCGAGAGAAAATCAATATTATTAGGGTGCGCAGTCAATACTGATGTCATCGTTTTCATCGATGGCATAGTATTTAGGTTTACATTGAAGGCTTCAAAGGGTTCTTAGTGAGCCGTTTCGAGAGGTCGTCGAAATAAATTACGACGATTCGTAGTAGTGTAGTAAGACAACGGAAAAGTCCAGATTCGAACTGACGCCCACGGTCTGTAGTGATAGTTGAAGAGCAGCGAAAGCTTGCTGCCCATCTTTCGACGAAGGTGTGGGCTACTTTTTTGGAAGTGAGGTCCTTGATGGGCACTTCCTCCGGACATCGAGTGAAACGGTCTACACGAGTTGAGAAATAAGGGTATCCATTTGGGTCAGGCAAAGGTACTAAGGCGAGACTATAATTTCTGGACGAGGTAATTATTTATAAGATAACACGTCTCAGAGTTTGGCGGAAAATTCTCTTGTGTATTTGATTAAATAGAGTTTTGCCATTACAGATGATATCAGTTCGTGATGAAAAACCTTAATCTAATTACTGACCTTAACCATCAACTGCAGATCATGGGTTGAATTCCTCACACAGGTTTACAAGCCTCATTTGATCCTGTTTATTAGGTAAGCACTCTGAAGGTCACTCTGTCGTCGCTCAAATGTCATTCACAAATGGTCGAACGAACACCTGGATAACAAAGTTTGTACGGCGTTTTGAAGACATTGCGTCGATAATGTTTCGGCGCGATTGGACGATCCCCACCTTTAGATGTGTCGCATGGCAAAGTTTTCTTACCTGTTCCCATCTCTTCTATATACAGCTCCAGCGTTGTGGAAGAGAACTCGTGCTGAAAATCAGTGTCTTCTTTTCGAAGCTGGGCGTGTTCGAGATGGTCGATTCCTTGGAAACTGTTTAAGGAAGTTATACGAGACAAAACGTCTGCAACTACATTGTTTGCCCACAAATGTATATTTGATGTGAACTGCAAAATGTAGTCCAGTCTTCGAGACTCCTGAGGGGAATGCTTATCTGAAGATGAGTTTAAACAGAACATACGAGGTTTGCAATCGCTAAAATTGTCGGCCTTCAGCAGAGTGTTAAAAGTGCCGTACAGCACAATAAATGGCTAGGGGTCCCCTACCTAAAGTGCAATACTTCATTCAGGTATCTAGCAACCATCTCGAGTAGAATGCCAAAACTTGCCAGGTGTGGTTAACCCACTGTTGTAGGACTCCTCCAATTGCCGAGTCGGATATATCTACTGCTATACTAATGGATGCTTATATATCCTGGTGTGCGAGCATGGTTGCTTTGACGACAAGTCCCTTAACTGTGGAGAGTGTTTTCTTCGTGTCATCGCTTAAATTGATGGGTTTCGCATTTCCACGAAGATGATCGGTTAAAGTTCTTATAATAGACGCGCAATTCAGCATGAACTGTCTATAGAAACTTACTAGACCGTTGAACCCGCGTTGTCTGTTGATTGTTGTCGGTTTTAAGCAATCCAGAATGGTTGCCACTTCGCTTTTAAACGATCGATTGCCTTGAGCATCAACAGTATGTCCGAGAAAATCTAGTGAGTCAGTGCCGATTTGACATTCTTGGATGTTTACAGTAATTCCGTGTCTTTTGCAGTCGCTTGAAGACAACTTCTAGATGATGGAATGAGTATGTCTGCCCGGCCTTGCAATCAAGCAGTCATCACCACACATATGCAGGAAGTTGAGACCTCCATAAACGTCATCGAATAATCTCTGGAAAGCTTGAGTGAGATATTTCAAACCAAGTGGCATGCGGAAAAACTCGTGGAGTTCAAAGGGAGTGATGATAGTGGATTTTGGAATGTTGCCATCAGCCATGGGAATTTGGTTATATGCTTTACCCAGATCGGCGTTCAGAAAAACGGCTGTACCTTTAAAGGTAGCTGTCAAATCGTGAATGTGAGGCGACCGGTAACGATCAGGATAGGTTTTCGTATCCAGTCACCGATAGTCACCAGCTGGATGCCCATCGTTGATGTCCGTTTTATGGACCGTGTGCAAGGGAGATACCTATGGGCTGTTCGATGGCTGAACAATTATCAAGCCTCCCACGTAGTCTTTGGCCAACCTCAGTTTTTCGGTAGCTAGTCGGCGTGCTTTCGAGAATTCAGATGGTCCTGTAGTCGTGATGTGGTGTGCAACATTGCTGGTCGCATACGACTATTTTGCTCGCGTTTGGTACAGATCAGAGTACTTAACAAGTATCTCTTGGTAGTATTGATCGATCGTGTGTTTTACTGTGACTGAGGATAATCTACAATCGGAAAAAGAAGTTACACAAATAGATATATATTAGTTGTTCCGTTTACTGAAATTCGTTTTCACGTGTCGACAAGTAGATTATGCTGTTGTGGTGGATCTGTACCAATAAACAGAGTTGAAACATCTGCAACAACGAAGACCCAGTGAATGAGTTTGAAAACCAACGTCATGATGCACGCACCGTCTACCGTGTGTGGCAATCGGTTTCCCTTTTGGCGCTTGCATGTTGAATATGGGCTAGTGGACTCGATCGTTATGATTTTGCAGAAAGAACGCCAACTTCGGCGCCGGTATTGACGGGCTAGTATACGTTCATCATCACATCAGTGGTGTACAACGGACGGCTGTGTTCGCCGGCTACAGCTATCGTTACACCTGCCGGCTGTGAAGCTTCTCGAATGGTTTACCGTGTCGTTAGGTTTTAAGATTAGGAAACTGCACGACTTTCAGTTGTTTCTAGAAGACTTTCAATGATTATTGTGATACCAATCAGGATTGTCTGCTTCTCATGATATGGAGATAGATCTTTTTAGTGACGAACTTCTTCGAGGGGCTTGGGAACGTATATA